ATTTTCAAATATTATTATATGAAATTTTATTTAAATATTTTAAATATTAAAAAAAATAGATCATAACTAAATTTATGTTATTTTTAAGCTAAAATTGTTACACGAACTCTACAGCTTAAGGGATAGTATGGGAAGGGATCAACGCCCCTGTTTAAGAGATACCCGAGTTGAGTCAGTGCCTAGAATAAGTTGAATCGATAAAGTTGAAGGTTTTACAATTGAGATATACTTTTAGTATATAATTTTTATCTTTATACCTAGCATGGGCTATAATAGTGTGTCAAGACTATATATTTTTTTTTTGCTTTTTTCATCTTTGTTCATTTATATTAGATTATTTTAGAATTTGTTTTCTTGCTTGTGTTTTTTTTTATTGCCGTGAGACATTTTTTTTTCTAAAATATTTAGATCTTTTATAAACATGGCTTTATTTTTTTACTTTTATATATGAATAAGAGTTTTAATTATTTTGTCAAGCTTAGGTGGAAGAAGTTTGAAAAAAAGAAAGGTAGTCTTAACAGGCTAGTAGAATCCATCCAGTGATATCAAGGTAAATCTTGCTTATAGCAGGTCACACATAGGAATCCAAGAGATAACCAGGTGAGCCAGTACTTGTAAAGTAGGTATTAAAAGGCTAACACCTTTTGTAAAAGTCATATAAATTTATATTGTATAATGTAAAAATTATAATAGCCTAATAAAGTATATGGCAAGACTGCCGAAATGGTTAAAAAAAAAAAATAATCTCAGACAAGTTGGTCTGCCCAGGCTTTAAGTGCCTGAAGGACGCCCTCCCCTTGGTCCATACTTTCGGAACATATGGCCTTTTCCTCCGGTACGTCAACCGGCGGTTTGGTTGGTGTGTCCCCCACTAAAGGACCTGATTGCTGGGTTCTCCAATCTCAGGCCCCAGTTCAGATTCAGCCTTCCTGTAGAACTGTTGAAAGTTACAACTACTCCCAATTCGGGACTTCCCAGGCAAGTTCCCTGTAGTTTTACTAATTTCCAAGCTTTATGCGACCTAATTGGCTCCCAACTGGATCTTCCAGATACAGGCATGTATCCCCCTTGGACTAGCGTCAAACAGACTCCTATGCATGCATTGGTACAACTTAGGTTACAGATCTTCAGATCCAATAATCACTACCAGTTACAGTAACACAGGCCTATTTTTCAAAATTTATCGTTCATAGGATTCAAACTCTAGACCTGCCGCCTGGTGGGATGACGACTAGACCACTTCACTAAAAATATTATAAAAATATTATTATTATATTTTAATAATGATTTAAAATAAGCTTTTTAAAAATGTTTTTAAAATATTATTTTAATATTATTAAAAAGATAAATCTATTAGTAACAGCCTGTTACATAATAGCCTATACCTAAAATCCTTTATAACACAAAATTTTACTAATAAACTTGCTTCAGATATACTAATGAAAAATGATCCTCTTGCAATTTTTTAATATAAACTTTAAACCTAATTTAATACTAACTCTAGCACTAACACTAACTCTAAACTTAACATTAACAGGCTGTTACATAACAGGCTATTACAAATAGATTTTTTTCTATAAATATAATTAATTTGTTTTTAAAATAGTTTAAAAATAGTTTTAAAACATTTTTAATAATATTATTAAAATAGTTTTAATATGTATTGTTTATATTATTATTATTAAATTATCACTAGTAATTATTATGTTTTTTATTTATTTTTTTATAGTTTCAGTAAAGTAAAACTTGGCAATATTCACTTCTATTATTCTATACTTATAAGCGTTTTAACAATTTCACTTGTATTTTTTATCTTTCTAAATTACTATTAAACAATATTAGCTTAAACAACTTAAATTTAAATACAAATCCAATCTCTACCAAAAAACTATATCCTATTCTAAATCTTTTCACAATCAAAAATTTATAAAACAAAATACTTTTCTTAGAACAACTTCTTATAGCAGATAACAAATACATATCGATGAATTTACAGAATTGATCTAAATTAAGATCTATATATTTTAACAATACAATTGTAAAACCAACTATAAAATTTTAGCTATAATGTGTATTCTGCAATTGTTAAACCCAGTGACTCTAATTTAGATTCATTTTGCAAATCTGCTAATATGACTTACTTTTTTGAAACAATATTTATTTTATTTATTTACATATTCAAAAATCAATACGAGGTTGCACATCTTTATAGTATAATCAACTAAAAAACCAAATTAACAACCAAATTATAATTGACACCTGGCCTCAAATTCTTTTAGATTCTATAAACTCTTTTTTAAATAATCCAAGTTTCTCATGATTTAGTGATTAGATCAGTATAATTTTGATACTATTCAAATTAGCTTATCAAACTGATTCAGATAGTACCAAAATTACACAGATCTAATCATTAGATTATGAAAAACTTGGATATAAAAATTGCAAAAGGTAAGTGCTTATTTATAGCAGGATACAGTATACTAGACCTCATAGCTATACTAACTATAAAATCACAAAAAAATAATTAGTTTATTTTTCTCTTCTCTACTCAAACAAATATAGCAAAATTATCTTAATTTCAAACAATATATATATATACTTTATTAATTCAAATATTTTAAATACAATACTTCTGACTTCCACTTCATGAAACTTCTTAAATTTATTAAAAAACTTTAATAAATTTTACAGGCAAAATACAAAAACAAAAACTAAATCAAAACTTATGCTATAAACTATTTATCTCTATTCAAGAAATCAAAGCTCTTATTCAAATTCATATCCAACTATACACAAATTTATCCTTTTCAATTGACTTGCAAATCCTCATTTCTAGTGAAATTATTAAACAAAAAAAATATATTATCCCCATCACACTATCAAGATGAACTAATTAATGCTTATCAAAATATTATCAACCTAGATCTCCAAAATTTATATTTTTATTCAGATGCATTAATTATTTACTTTTAACCACCTAATATTAAAACCAGTATAGGTTGAATACTTGATAGTAATATTCAAATCAAAATTTAATACAACTCAAAATTTATCAAATACAACAAGAGCAAAAACTGAATCAATTCTTTATTTACTCCTTATAGTACCAAATAATACTCAAATCTTTCTACTTATAATACACTAATCTCTGACATATTTAAAAAAGTAATGTGCTTTATGAAATACCCTGCATTAGCAGTCGTATTTCACAGGGCATGTTACTTTTTCAAATATAACAGAGACTAGCATATCATAAGGTACTATAATAAGGTACTATAAAATAAGGTACTATAGTAAGATACTATAGTAAAGTACTATAGTAAGATACTATGCTAAGGTACAATGCTAAGGTACTATGCTAAAGTACTATAATAAGGTACTATATCAAAATATTATGCTAATATATCTCCAATTACAAAATGATAAAAAGTCTACTAATAAATCTTTTAAATCATTATACTTAAGAGTAGAGAATACGTAGATCATTTATTATATGATTTTTGTAGTACAACGTGATTTTTACAAAAAATAAAATATTAATTTTTGTAAAATTTTTATATTATATAGATTAATATCTATTTTTTATAATAGTAAAATTTTTAATAAATCAAATATTTAAAAAAAATATACTTGTATATATTGTAAGTTTTTCGTAGTCATTTTAAATTTTCCGGGTTACACAAAATCGTTGATTTTGATTGGTTTATATCATATGATCATCATATGATTTTTATAAACAATTTATAATACTAAATATTTAAATACATGTATCTCAATGAATATCCAACCAATTTTAATAATTTTACTACTGTTAGAATCAGAAAGACCTGTTCTATATCTTTTATTAGGAATTTAAAACAAGTTTACTTAATAAAATTTTCTTTAACTTTAAAAAGAAAAAAATTTACTATTAGTTTTAGAGAATTTATATTTTTTGCAAGTTGTGATATCATGGGTATGATGACGTACACATGTTTTGCAGTACCAGATTCAGTAGTTGGAGTATACATTGTTAACCCAATTAGTAATGTAAAACAAATTATGTAATTGCTATGTAAAACATGTATACATATTGAAATAAATAAATAGAGTGTAATTGAATAAATAATTAGGCTTTCTTATACTTAGAATAGTAAACGATTAAAGTGTTTATAGCAAGTCATGAACACAGTACAAACTAGACATTTATATTACTGTATAACAAAAAAAACATTGTGAACAAAAAAACTAAGCTATAAAGGAAGCACAAAGTAAAACTTACTATGTGTCAGCAATAATAGCATTATTTTTTAACTTCGACATAGGCAACAACCTAAAAGAGAAATCAACCGATCTTGAAATTGTAATTTTTTTTTTTTGAATAGTGTTAGTGAAGTGCATAAGAAATTATCACATTTTTAGTTGTTAGGTGCGTAAAGTAAAACATATTACAAAGAGTGCTGTATCAGATGATTACTTTAATTTTGACACATAGAGAAACAACTTAAAAGGATAATTGAGCAGCCTTGAAGTTTGTAGAAGCTTTTTTTTTTCTTTGAGTCTTGTGAAAAACTTTTTTTATTTGGGCCTTGTGTAAAGTAGTGTTAATAAAACGTGAAAGAAACCATAGACTACCAATACTACCAAGTAAGTGCAAAATAGACTTACTATACAATAAATACTTAATCAGGTGATAAAATATATCTAATCAAATATTGTAAAAATGCAGAATCAAATTAACCTAAAATTGACTAATATGCGGAATAGTTGTGTAGTTGATTAATATAGGCAACTAGTTAGTTGACAACTAATAGTTGAACTAGTTGATTATAAATCGGTTAGTTGATTAAAAAATTTTCTAACCAGTTAGTTGAAAAGTTGTCAACTATTCGGTTTTTCAACTAATGATTTGGAACACTAGTATAGCTATAAAAATTTTTGGGCTTTCTGTTATAAAATAAAGATGAAATTTGTTTATTGTGAGGTGGCTTTGCACCCATCTTTGCCTTTTTGGTATGAGGTAGATCCTATAATATCCTGATTCGACCTGCTTTTAGTGATTTTTTTATTATTTTTCTTCTTATTAGATACTGTGATAAAGCCTTCATCATCTATATTAGGCAGAGTATTTTTTTTCTCACTTGTATCAGACTTTTGCAAAGCAAAGGTTCGAGCTGGATCCTCTATTGTTAGCTCATCTCTTGGAGCTTTATTGAACGAAAGTTGATTTTCTACCTCTTCTTGAATGTAGAGGGATTCTAGCTTGTCATCAGTTTTATCATTCTTCTTAGTTGCCTTTTCTGTATGTATCATCATTGTATCAAGATTAGCTAAGTTTTCAGCATCCTTCTTGGGGTTTTTTTCCAGGTTTAAAACAGGAATGTTTTTTTTTTGAAAGTTCTTTTTGTATTTCAGTTATTGTTGGTTCTTCCTGCAAAGGTAATACAGGGGTCTTTCGTGGTGGGCTGCTTATTAATCTCTCCTCTCTTGTTTTTCTAACTTCTCTAAATTTATAATAATGATTCCGAAGTCTGAGTAATTCTTGGAGATGTTCACATTCCCTCTTAATATGATCCTCTTGATTACAAAAGAAGCAAATTTTTGGAGCTGATTTCCATTCTGTAGTGACCTTATTGTCACCAACCTGAGTAAAGCGTGAGATTTTACTCTCTAGGTTTGGGTCATCTGTGTTTTCAAAAATGATGATCCATTGGTCTGTTAAATAAGGAGTGTCTTCAATCAGAAGGGGTTTGATAGAGGAGATATCGCCTATGTCTTTAAAAGCCTCTTGGATGAGGTCAAGATTTGGTTTTTGTCACCTAGTGGCACATTTCTAATTTTGACCAGTAAGAAGAATTTGTGAGTATCTGTTAGGATGTAGCCATAGTAGTAGTGTTCCAAATCATTAGTTGGAAAACCAAATAGTTGACGACTTTCCAACTAACTGGTTAGAAAATTTTTTAATCAACTAACCAACTAATTATTCAATTAATATAATTCTGAAATATTCCGCTTATTTGGGATAATTTGAAATGATTTCTTGGATTTGATTGGCTAATATCTGAAAATATCATGTGATATACGTAACCAGTTAGTAAAATTTTAACAATTTGGAACACTACATAGTAGGTTTTACCTAAAATTATCAACCCCATTACTAGCATATTTTTTGAGTAGGTTTTGATTCGCGAAAATAATTTCTAAATAAGAGCGGTCACTTTTTTAAGATGTTGCTTAGCAGCAATAACTTTGTCTTTAACATTTTCAAAAAGTGAGAACATTATTTCATTAAAAGAACAATGGATTCTTGAGATATCGATAATCAGAACATTATTGTTTTTGGATTTAATTTGCTCTTTTGAAGAGAATGTTGAAAAGGTCGATTGGCTTCTTTTTAGCTTTGGGAAGAGATTAGACCACTGTTTAAGTGGGGCTTTATCCTGAGTAGCTTCTTGTCTTAGTTCGTTAGTTCACAGGGGGTTCAGGACTTTTAGGTGGTGTTTCCATATAACTTGATGATGAGGAACTTTCTGGAACCTTTTCAGATATATGCATCGCTTTGTTGTTTTGTTTACTCAGTTCTGTTTTTTGTAAAGACATGTTCAAATTCAGCCAAGGGTTTTCTTGGGATACAATGTCATCCCAACTTTCCTTGCTAGTAGTCAACTCATGTTTCTTTGTATCTTTAGTGGAGTTTGTGAGCAAAATGCTTGAGTTTGGTTCCTGTATGTTGAAGACCAAAAGAGTCTTTAACCTTGACTTCTTTGTTAGAAGAATCCATAATTTTGTATTTTTTATTTGGTTGTTCTTGAAGTAAAACTTTTGTGGCCTTTTTTTTTGCTGGAACAAGGGCTTTAGCCCTTGTTATTGTTGAACTGTTTGGGTTTTTACTCCTAGATATATTGAATATTTTGTTCATTTAATATTTTACTCTCCCTGCCTTTATTTTTTTTTTTAAAAAAAAAAATATTAAGCATACTTTATTTTATTATACATATTAAGTTATAAATTTTACAAAAAGTTTGATGAAGTTAAGAATGCTGTTGCCTTTATCAGGCTTAGAGTGATCTTTTTGGTTGGCCAATTTCTGTAACAGATTAATTTCAAACTTTAATTCAAGCTTTGTAATATTAGCAACTGCTATTTGAGAGATAACATTGTTGCCCCACTTAGCTTGTGCATACCAGCACCAGATTTCATAAATACAGGTAATGTGGAGCCAAATTGTGGCTTTGTGCTTCTTGCTTTCTTTGATATTTGTTGCTTGGAAGATGTCTTTAAATGTATGGGGGATCGAATATTCTTGAGTGCTTTATAGACCATTTTCCAAACAGTTATACTCAGTGGGCATTTTAGGGCAAAGTGTTTTAGAGATTGTGTGTAGTGAGGGCAGTTAGGGCAGTCACCAGTCTCATCCGGGTTAATATGTATAAGACGATAACCCAGAGGCAAAGCCCTGTACATGAGTCGCCAAAAAGTATCTTTTTTCTTATTAAGACTCCATTTGGATTTGATCCAGTTAAACTGTGTGGTATCGATCTGAGAATCAGGTGATTCATACAAGCTTTTTAGAGCATTCCGAACTGTGAAATATTGACTTCGCTAATTCCTATTTTAATATCTTTTGGCTCCCAAGGCCAAGCCCTATTTGTCTCAATCTTGCCTTTGAATCTTTTCCAGGCCATTAGATATAGTCTCCATTCTTCTGGCCAGCCTTTGTTTTTATAAGGAATTTGTGTTAGAGCCATGTTAACCATAATTTTTCTTTTGGTAAAAATTTCTGCAAAGATTCTTTTCCTTTCTGAGGTTGCCCATAAAGAGTTGCTGGAGAGAAGTTTAATCCAGATTAACAAAAGCCTGGCATCGAGCATGTCTTTGAGAATCAGAGCAGATAATCCTCCTCTTTCATAGCTAAGTTGAAAAACAGAATACTGAGGTAGTATTCATGAGTTGCTCTTCACCTATTTTTTTAACAAGGGTATCAATTTCCTTAATCTGTTTTCTTGATGGCAGAAGTATATACACAAGGTACCATATTTTGAAAATAAGAAGAGTTTTGGCAGCAAGAATTTTTCTTTTGAAAGATAAGTTTCTTTTAGAAAGCTCTTTAATTTTTTTTCTTAATCGTTTTTGTCATCTCACTCCAAAGGGTTTTGTTAGAAGCACCCTTGATATTAATACTGTATTCAAGAATAGTAAAGAATTTTTAATCATCAGCTAGAGCCTTAAAATTATGTTGTTCCAGAAGTTCAACTCTGCTGGCATTACTTGTGATTGGTATAAGAATCAATTTATGCTTGTTAACTACCATGTTTGAGGCTTTTTCATATTTGCTAAAAATGTCTAGTAGCGTTGACTAGTCTGAAAGAGAGCTGATACCGATAGACAAGTCATCTGCATATGCAGCTATATAGAAGTTCATGTTGATGATTGGGATACCTCAAAATGACTTTTATTAGAGAGTTGATCACCAAGACATAGAGAAGAGGGGAAAGTGGATCTCCCTGCCTCACCCCTTTCTCCACTCTAACTGGTTCTGAAATTAGGCCTGCGTCTGTTATATGTGCCACCTGCAAGAAGAACAGCGCCTTAACTATTCTAATGAATTTGTGATCAAAGTTCATTCTTTTTAGTACTGTTTCTATAAAGTCATGACTAACTCTATCAAAAGCCTTTTGTTGATCTAAGAGAAGGAGCCAATGTTGTTTCAATTGGTTTTTCTGACTTCTCAGGGTTGTGATAATATCTAGCATTGAGTCTGTGATTGATCTTTTGGCTATAAAAGCCTGTTGTTCGGGCCAATGACGCTGTTGCAAATTGGGTTAATTCAGTTTGCAAGTATTTTTATAAAAATTTTCACATTTGCATTAACAAGTGAGATAGGTCTCCAGTTATTAATGTTCTCTAAGTCTTCATTTTTTTAGGGATTAGTGTGACCAAGCTTTTGCTCCATGAGTTGAGGATCTGACCCAAAAGAAGAACCTTATTGAAAAGCCGGCTAGTATAGGAACTATGAGCTCCCTTGTATCTTTGTAGAATTCATATGTAAGGCCATTGGATCCCAGGGCCTTATTGTTAGGGAGTTTGATAAATTTCCTCCTCAGTTATTGGAGTAACTAGCGTCTGATTCTGCTCTGAAGAGATCTACGCCAGGTTTTCCATAAGTTGAAAAGCTATCTCTTTATCAATTGCCTCTTTTTCGTATACTTTCTGGTAGAATTCTCTGATATAATTAAGAGTCTGTACTTGAGACTTTATGCCTGGGTTGTTCGGGTCTTGAATTTTGGAGGAGCTTGTGATAGAGTGTTTTTTTTTATAGAGCGCAAAGAAGTATTTTGTTGACTTCTCCCCTTCCTCGATCCATTTGGCGCTTAATCTGATATACCATCTTTCTGAGAGGAGTGATAGCTCTTCTTGCAGTTTTAGGTTAAGATCTTCCATGATTAGTTTGAGGTCTGATAAGTTGTGATTTTGTGCTATTTTGTTGTTTAGTTCACAGAGTCTTTTATAAAGCCTTTGGATGTTTCTTTCTAGGGGAAGCAAGGTTTGAGCTCTAATTATAGACTGAATTGAGCATTTGCAGAAGTCCCAATTGGAGATACCCCAGACCCCCTGGAGTTCTTGGGTTATACCCTTTTTTATTTCTGGAATGTCCCATTGAACTTCTATTGTGCTTTGTTACTGTGTGTGATTCTACCAATAAGTGGTCTGAGTTCCCGAATCTTGTGCAAATGTTTCTACAAAGATGACTATCCCTTAAACCGTCCAGTTTTAGCAGGCAAATTTGCCTGCTTAAATTTTATAAATTCATATCTGATCTATTTT